ATTACAGCCAAGTGGTGGAGCACCACCAAAATGACCCGAATACAAAATGGCCTCACGTGTTTAAAGACGCCGGCTCGCTTTCCCAGGAGAAAAGCCAGCAGAAGCAGGACATCCCAGGGCAGCCAGGACACCTCCCCAGCCTGAGAGTCTCAGACAGTGTTTGTCCAAGCCAATACAACACGGTGGGTACAAAAGCCACTAAGGTGATTTAGTTTTTATTAGCATGAAGCATGTACTTTCAAACAGACAAGTCACTGCAGGGGCCTGACCCTCCAGCTTCCTATTCTAAACATGCTCAGATATTGGCACTAGTGACCCATTACAGACAGCACTGATGTTTCAGGTAACCTTCTGCCTCTAAAGAGCAGAGGAACATGGATTCCAGCATTCATCACAAAGGTCTACCTGACAGCCATGCTGTCTGGCATCATTCACCGGAGGCTCCCCATCCACATCAGAAGGGAAGTGTATCAGAGCCTCTAACTCTTTGCAGCAGATGAAGTTCACCAAGACGATGTGCTTGTATCTGCATCTAACAAGTCCTTCAGTGGAGGTGCTCCTCACTGTCACACTGTGGATCACACAGTGTCAAGGATCTGGGAGAGCTATTCCGTGCCTCTGTCTGTCCTCCAATAGCTGTCACCTGCCTGCATGAGCTGAGGAAAAGCAAGACCTTTGATACATGTTACAGACATAAAACAATCATGTGCACTAATATCTACACGTGGTTTCTGCTGGAAAGTTTAAAAAGTCATTTGTTACTCTGATACTAAAGTACCCTGCTCTTTGATGCAAGAAGCTTGCTACCTCGCAGTTTCAACCACACACCTCTCCATGCTGCTTGGCACAGAATTCACTTACAAACGTTACTAAGTATTTGGTTAAAGAACGACGTGGTGAGGCTTTGATCAGGTAAGATGCTTAAGCAGTAAGTTTAAGCACAGGAATAATCCCAGTGAAGTCCCCAGGATTCATGCACGTGCTCACACCCGTGCTCACTCCAAATCATCAGGCTGCAGTTTGTAACCCAAACCCTTCTGTAAAGATGAACAAGGCAGCTCAAAATTAGAGAAAAAACCACAAAAAATACTAATACAAGAGAAGGCTGGAAAAAAATATCCGTGCAAGCAGTTAACCAGGAAGCACAGTCTGAATTTAAAAAAAAATAAAGGACAGCAGAGAAAAAATGAAACTCCAGTTTTATGCTGCCACTCCTGATGAAGATGCTGTGTGCCATCCCAAGGAAGGAGAAGTAAGAAGAGAGAGTGGCGTTGCTTCCTTCCCACATCCTTTGCAAAGAGATGATAAAAAAAAAAAAAGAAAAAAGCCCCGACACATCTTGTGTGTCAGCATCTGGCTTCCAGATCTAAACATCTGTCTCTATCACTGGCACATTTCTCAAGTCTTTTCAAGTCTCAATAATTAGAGAAGAGACTCGTGCGCTCGCTGCGCTGTAGGGACCGCAGCCCTTTGGTTCATATTGGTCAATAAAACATGGCAAGGAAATGATGAAATGTCCATGCACAAAGTTGACAAAAATCCCCCACTTCAATGCCAATATCCCAGCAGCCAGTATTTATCTTTCACAAGGAAGATGAAGGCAATAGGGTGTAAAACAAATAGGCTGCTGATACCAAAAACAAATCAAAGCAAATCAGCTGCATTTAAATGTGGGCATTGCTGGTATCTGTGTATAAAGGACCAGATTCAGTCTGGCCATGCCACTCAACAAAGGAAAATAGTCCCCCTAGTGTACTCTTCTTGTAGAAAAGACTGTTTCACAAGATAGTGCTGCAAGAAATCACAAAATAACAGTATAGGAAGAGATTCAGAAGCACTTGAGCCACAGCGACACTGGGCAACTCTTACTATATATGTGGACACAAAAGTGTTTCAGTTTTCTATTTCAAGATTACTCAGTGAAGTGAGTTACTGTATCCTAAATATTTATTTTTTTTGGAGGGGGGAATTGTTTTTAACTCAGCACACTAGTTTTGTGCCTGTAGGACATCAACAGGGTAAAAGCCACCTGAGTTTGGAAAGGCAGGCAGACAATGGTCATCCAGGAGCTCCGTGGAAGTACCTGGAACAGGCGCCTGGCACAGGGCACTTCACAAGGGAGAAACCAGCTCACCCTCAGCCCTCTCCTGCCCTGGTGAGCTGTCAGGCAGTGTCAGGTTAGCAAATGTCCCAGGGGGGCCAGGGGGAGTGGGGAACAAAGGTGGCTGTTGCTGGGGTAGGGTGGTGGTGTATTGGGCAAACCTTATCTGAATGAAGGGAAACGTCGTATATGCCTCTCTAACCACATCTCAGAGATTCACTTCTGCTTTAAATGTCCTAGGTAAATAAATAAATAAAGGGGGGGGAAGTGATAGCTGTAACTTTCAATTTATAGCTCTTAAAAATTATTGTTTTGAGGAATATAATCCCAGCTACGTTGACAGATTATGGAATTCGGGACATCTCACTGGAAACTATATTAATATTTCATACATAATAATACATAAGAAAACCAAGTTCTGTTCTTCCTTTTGTTTAAAATGACAATTTCTCCACTCTTTCTGCCAGAGCAGAGTATTGCTAAATGGGCTTGCTGCCTTCAAAGGCTAACTTTGCTGTGTAAAAATATTCTGAATTAGGATAAAAGCTTTCTGATTCAGAACTATCTTCTGCTCATTTAAAACCTCCGTGTAACTCACAATCTGAAAAAGTCTGATGTGAAAAGCTGACATTAGCTCCTGAAGAGTTGTATTCATTACCTGTGAGGGAAACAAAGATGATAATAACATATATTGTGGTTTAGCACCGGGAGATGAAAATGGAGTCTCTATTTAAGAGTGTTGCCTCTGCACAAACTAATTTATGTTCCAGCCAAGGAAATGAAACAGTCCTCTTTGGAAACACGACTTTCTGAACGTATACGCCTGCACTGAAAGAAACTCTAGCCCTGCTGAGGAATTAGATGTTGCAGTTTTGGATGCCTGGCAAATTATTAGCTCCTGACCTCTCCTCTGGCCCTTCCAGTGTGCCCCTACCACCCACGCACAAGTGCGCCAGCCGTTCATGCGATCGAACGCCTTGCCCGAACTTCCAGAGACAGCTCACAGTCATTAAGAGAGGCAGAACTCTCTGCTCCCAGCTTCTGAGAAAGGTCATCTTAAAGGCTTGTGAGAAACTTCTGAACTAAATTATAATCGGAGGGATCTCGAGGGATCCAAGTTTTTAACATTTTAATTAGCTCCAAGTACCAGTTAATGCCGCTCAGCAAAGGAATCGATATCAAATTAACAGTATAAATTGCCAGGAAAAAAAATTGTGACTGTATTAACATCCCAATCAATGTCAGTGCTCTGCGTTATGGCCCAGATCCTGCTCCTGATGAAGCAAATGGGAGTTTTGCCACCAAATTCAGCCAAGACAGTATCAGCCCCGTTGTCCACTAAGTCCTCCTTTGAACCGAGTATCGAGAATTCACTGAAAATTCAAAGTATCAGACAGAAAGGCTTGATTTGTCACAGCAGCTGACATTGCTTCTGCATGAAACCAAACAACTTAGGAAGGCAGGGGCTGTCACTGGAAGATGTAACCCTTTATCACGCGACGCACTTGAAAAGTCAGATCAAAATTCAACACCCAGTGCAGAGGCAGAAGCTGTAAAAAGGATCCGTACTTTTAAAAGCCTTGTCTCAAAACAACTGTGCTGCCCATAAACTTTGCATTCGTATTTTCCCCAGCTCGAGACAAGTCTGACAGTGAAATGCTTCCTCTACCCTGCTCCATTTGGAAGGTATAAAAAAAATCATACAGCTGCACTTCAACTCCTGCTCGGGCACCAAAAGAGGAGGCTGCTGGGAGGAGGAAAGCTACCAGGAATGTTTCATCCCTCCAGTATTTGTGGCTATTTTATAGCGTCGGTCATCCCCTGATCCAAAGCTAGAGAGACCCAAAGAGGAAATGTAATTTCTCTGCAATACAGTGAAACTTCCCTGTAAATTCACCTCCAGCCACCCAATCAAGAACTCGGACCTCGGCACCATCCCGGGATTTCCCTCTGCAAACAGAACCAACACCAAGCACCACCTGCGTTTCTGTGGGATGTGACATTTCCACTAACGGGCAGACGTGGAAAACGAGGAAGGAAAAAAAAAAACCAACCGAACAAACAAACAACCAAACAACTCTGGAAACGACTCCCAACAAAGTGCTTGACGTGCAGCACCAGCCCCTGCTAGGCCTTAACAGACTCCCTGGGAGTGCAAACCCCTGCCTGCCTGCACACACGACACAGAACCAGGTAGATGTTTCAATACATGGCGTGGTTTTTTCCCACTTTAGGAGAACGGCAGCACCCTTCCCTGCCGGCTGTCGCAGTGCTGGACAGAAAATGCTGGGCTGCACAGGATTTATCAGTTGCCAGTGCCCTCGCAGGCTGGCACGGCAGGAAATGCAAACCCAGCGTTCCCGCGGGCTGAGCAGCCAGGAACTCCGCGCTTTGATTTAACTTTTACGAAGAAAACGTCAAGACCCGAATCTCCCTCTATTGCTTTTGAGGAACGTGCAGGAAACCACCAGGGTTTTCCTGGATGGAAGAAGAACAGACCCGTTCTGTACTCGAGCTTTGAGATTCAAGACTGACCCTCCACAAAACAGCAACTCTGCTCTGTTTCCATGCCGAGTTACACCTCTAACTTAAAAAAAAAACAAACCAAACCAGAACCCTATCCTTATATTTAATTTTTTTCCCCCCTCTTTATGTGCTTATGCAGCAGACAAGCCAGCTGTGTGTCTCCCCGGATCCCGGAGTGAGAACCCCTCGCGGTTTACAACAGAAGAGACAAAACTTTTTAAACCCCCCCCCCCC